TCCAAGCAAATTAAGATAAACTTAGTGTTACTTAAACAAAACATAAATATGTAAGAGTCGGCGGCACTTTTGATGTTCTATTGAATTGCCAATAAGACAAAGTTTGACAAGAAACCCAAAGCCAGCCGACGTTGAGGTCAGAGATGAGAAAATAAATTATGTTATTACGAAACTTCACAATATTGTAGAGACACACAACGTTTCGCTTTTTTAAATATTTCGTGTACTATGGCACTTTCGTGGCGCGTTTTTACATCTACAACTGTTTTTTAATCCTGACTAACACCATAATTTTTCTAAAAGGTGTCACGAAAGTTTGCTTATTTCAACACTTAAATATTGCCTAATATACATGATATCAAGAATAACTTGTCACTACCAAAAAACAGTTTATTGATTAAAAAAATATTCGCCACGTACCATTCGCTGCTTTGGAACAAATCAACACAATACGGCATCAAAATAAGCGGGCCACAACGGCGCCCGGTTTCGAGAAATGATCAATCATAAACCGCGAGACGATCCTTCACGACGTCCCGCCTCCAGCTTTGTTTTTATTTTGGCGCGAAATAAAACTCGATGCGTTCGGAAATAGCGGGGAAATAAGGTGAAGTGTCAGAGTCGATGATGTACCGTCTCTTTCACCTGTATCGTTTATTTTTAGTTCAGAAATGGTTCTCAAATCGATTAAAACTTTATATAAATTTCAAATATACTTAAGAACTGTATTCGAAATTGAATAAAAATTATAGAAAACGAACAAAGTTTTATCTTTAGATACAATTTAAATTAAATAATCTACGTGCTGATGCATTCGACACGGTTCATTACTTTTTTTAATAAAGAAAAAATTATACCGCTTTCTCGTCTGCGATAAATAATTTTCGAACCTTTCGTAACTAAAATAGGAATTGCCAGCCATATTGCTATACTTATTTATATAACCACATATGATTACTCGGTGCGCGGAGAGTAATGATGGTCAATGAGGCATAACTTTTTCTCGGTGTCTAGTTACTAATAGGGTTGCCAGCTAATTTCAAGTGACCGGATATTGTGTAATTTAATATTATTCTCGATTGCCTTGATAGGAATAACTTAGATTTCCAGATGAAATTGCTTACTCCTTTACTAGAACTTTCCTGTCTTTATGCGAACAGACGTAGCTGTTAAACAAATAACTACTATCCATCAAAGTCAATAAATATACCATGACTAGTTAGGATTTCACAATGAACAGGTCTGTTATAATACACACATTTCTGGGTAGTACAAAGTGGATAACCATCAACGGTAACGCGGCGGTTACCACTTAATATCAGATAAACCGCCAGCTCGTTTGCCACCTTTTCACATAAAAAACATATGTCTCAAAAACACAGTGAAAATAATCAGAACGCATAAAACACAAATTTTTGTCCCGTGTTAGCATTGCGTCTTCTTCAAATATAATTTAGATATGCAATCGTTTGTCAGATACAGGAATATCCGCGCGGTGATCATTTGAACCATAGTCTGTGTAACCAATTTCTGGTGTGTGCTGACGGTCTGGCAGCCCTAGCGGCGAGGTTGGCGCTCCGGTCCGTTAGTGAATGAACCGCCGACCGGTTTGACCGTTCTAATGTTAGTCCAGTTCAGAAGCACACGGCAGACGATGTTTATGCCACGAATTAAGCGTCGCGTTCGCTCTAAGACGCTCAACGGACTCCGGAGCGGTCTTAGAAAATTGATTCGTTGGACACCGCGCCGGAATCAATTAACGCGGAAAGGAAAAGAAGCGGCGACATCTGAATCGGTCCGCCGATTGATTAATATTAAATTGTTTATGCTCTTGGTAGCCGAGGTTGATCGATTTGGCGGTACTAGTATGGAGCTGCGGTCGTTTAGCTTTTAAATACATGTAAATATACGTTTTGGTTTAAAAATGTGTATCGTTCGCGTGAATATAATAAATGGTTCGCTTTAAAACATGAATAGTGTCAGCAAAATCGAACCACCTCGGCGCAATCCGTCGGATGTATCTCTTATATTTATCGAAACGGTTTTTTTTTTCACACGCATGTGCGGACGGGATGTGATTAAAACTTGAAGGCTATGTAAATGCCGCATTGTAGAGGTGCGTTGTCATTTTATGTATAAAGTTCACCCCTTCGAAGGCCCTCGCGGTGTTCTTAGATATGCAACTGTCATCTGTTTTTTTTTTCTGGGCGAGGAAGAGGCGTGGTCATCCGGTCTCCAACGGGAATCCTTGATGTGTCAATTGGTGATCACAATGGGAACTCTACGCGGTTGTATGTCACCCTTCGCACATTACATCGGTGTATGTTAAACAGTTATTTGAACCGGTTCAAATGTGGGGTTGACCTTTTTTTACGGGGGGGTGATTTGAAAAGGACCAATTGCTCGTCTGCGGATAGCAACAGCGCTATCCATATAAGCGATAGCGTGTTTATTTTTTCTTTCAAAAGGAACAACTTAGATTAACTCAGCTTGCGTTATGTCACTGCTGACTTATCTTAATTTAGTCATGGCGCTGTTTTTGATGTCTGATTATATGATGTACACAAATGAAGAAGTTTTGCTTTCTATTTTAACGATACATTGGTAACATCCGTGTTTTAGAGACGCACGTTTAAAATTATACAATATCTTCATGTCGACTAATCAAGAGTAAAGTTTATTTTATTCTCATGCCCGGTCCAGCTAGGCATGAGAATAAAATGGGAATGTCCAGCTGGGCACGAGAAGGCTAGGTTTAAAAATCAATGTTCTTGGCAAGTGGTTTGGTCACCTGACGCTAAGTGATTACCACCGCCCATGTAGATCGACAACGCCTGCAGGGCTGTAAATACGTTGCCAACCTTTAAGAGTGCGGGCTTTGGTTGCCTCACTTACCGGATGAGGCGCAAAATTGCATTACTTTCACTTAAGCCGACCCTATGTAAGGTCGTAATACTTCCCCGGACGAGCCTGTACATTTACGCAACAGCATGAACTACCACAGTAACATACATAAAAATATTTCACATCTTCACCTTTCAGCAACGTGTTAAATGTTAAAACCACCATTTTTATTTTTTATTCAATTAAAACATAAAATAATAAGTTCCGTATGCAGTCCCACGTCAATTTGTTTTCAGAGGCCGTATTGAAAGCGATAATCAGCCCAAAAATTAAACTATTTCCTAATTAAAACTATTAAAATCGAGGAGCGAGGAGCGCGCGTCGACTTCCGCATTAAGTTATTTATGTCCGTTAACCCTTTACCGGCTATTAAGGGACTGTTGGGGTTAAACGGGACATTTCTCAAAGCGCCTCCGCTGACACGCTTAATGAGATGTCGCCACGGGTTATTTTCAGTCGTACCAACATAAAAAGGGACAATCTACGGCTGCTAAGATAATGAACCTTTGGTGCGTGGAATTTAAAAAAATAGTCGGCGCGTAAGGCTCAAGCATCAGTGGTGGGTGCAAGTCAGTTAAGTTTTGGACTTGCGAGCGTTAGATTTGTAAGGAGGCTACATATATCGGCCGATTGATTCATTAAGATACGATCGTGATCTACAATTTAACCTCATCTCGTAACGGGAGTCACAAAAGAATCGAATTGAAGCTGTGGACGCGTACCAATCTACGTGTAATTGATGGTTCGTTTTTTCATTCTTGTTTATTTTATTAGTATTAAATAAAACGATAAAATCCGTAAATATAGATTCATTTGTTGTATTTGTAAATACAAGATTAAATTATTTGCAATACTTTATTTCCTCCCATGTAAATTTTTATAACTCGACCGATTGCTTAACACGTTTTTAATAGACAACGCTCACATCCTTTATCTTAAAAAATATACCGTATACTGTATTACAAATGACGTGTCATTGTGGCCAATAAATAATGATACAAAGATATTAATTCTTGTCCTACTTGTCCCAACGTGCAACATGTTTAAATTTCAGTTAATTTATATTTAAATCGACGCTCTTCCCAATAGCTCTCACACGACTCGATAAGACTCCAAATATAAATGAGAAATGCAATAAAGATTCAATCTCCAAATTAATAAGGTGGACGCAAAGGCAAGGATAAGGGATGTTTCTTATAAATATTTAAACAAAATCAACGATAAAATTGAAATGAAACGTGAAAAAAGCACTAAATCCAGTAGCGAAAGCTCGTCATTCGGTAGCTGGGTAAGAACGTCGAATCAGATAACGGCGTCAACGTATGGATCCTTCTCGGTAACGAAAGCTTTGGATTAGCATGGATCATTAAAATACGATGTATTTCCATTTTCGTTTCTTACGCATTTCGTGAAGCGGACTTTAATCGGACTAACATGCGATGCGATACCGTCTTAACTAATCTTTAATTGATCGTGTTCTTACTTCAATGTCACTTATTTATAATGCGGAGTTAAATGTGAGTTAATTTAGTTAAGCAAGCCTTCAGATCTCTTTAAAGATATCGCTTCGAAATGTCACTGGTATCGGCGGATGCTGCTGATCTCGGCTCTTTTTGTTGCTTGTTTGCGTTTTTATTCGAAAAACGATCAATTAACTTCAAGTTTCCTCATAAATAAAGTAATTTTTGAAAGATTTCGAGACAGATAATTTAAATTGGACTAAACGTGTCGCAACTCTTGCTGAAGTAACCAACTGTGAGGTCCATGACAGAAAAAGTGTATGCAACGGTATGGAATAAAGTGCCAAGATTTGTTCATGTGGCTAGCGCAGATTTGTGAAGGGGAAAGCATTAAAGAGATTCAGCAAGATTAAGAGGCGCTGATACAATACAAATCTTGAAGTTTGCGCTTTTTTTCTTTACTGTTGGCGTTTGAAATTGTGAGATTAAATCAATATGTTAAATATGACTTTGAAGTAATATCAGTCCTAGAGACCATATGAAAATGTACACGATTAGGGCGCGTGAACTTTACTAAGAAACACATGAAAATTCATTCATTATTTATTCTTATCTCTAATTTTCTGTTACAGGACCATGCATCTTCTACTGTTGAATGAGAGAGTAAGCTCGTCCGGGGAACTACCACGGCCTCACAAAATACATGCTTAAAGTAGGAAGAAGTATTTTCCAGCCCTACCCTATGAAGTTGAGCAATACAGCTACAGCTTGTGTCGGGATTTCCACGGGCGTTGGTAATCATTTACTATCGGACGAAACAATTGCTCTTTTACCTTGTATTGTATAAAACGATACTGACACCTTACTTCGAAGTATACATTTCAGACTGACTCATTTATTTAAGTTTTGACACGAAAGGCGGACCCTGAGGCATTCTCTAACATTCAACCTACACTTAAGACAGGGTTTAAAGTTAGAGGGACAGAACACTTCCTTTTCGTAGATCGTAGATGTTATGAATAGATAAATAAAGCGCGTACAGACGCTAAAAGCGCTGGAAATCGGCGAACAGGGAAGCGCCGCAGGAAACTGCCGCCGGGCACGGATTCTGGCGGGCCGCGGCAAGCCTCGGTTTATCTCCGTCGCCGACCCGTTTCGCACACCGTGGGAAACACGCCCACATGCGTGGCGGTGCACCTCGCCGCCAGGGCTGTTGGAGCGGGCCGGTCCGGGCAATTCGGCCCGACACTTTCACCGTTTATCGGCGCGGAAATCGGTGCGCTAATAGTCTATCGACGCGCCGTTTATAAGCGATTCCCGTGTCTTTTTGGACTCATTCGAACGGTGTCGGTTAACAAATGCGGACTAAGTGAACGCATCATGATGTTACTATTCGCTGTGGTCCTTCGAGTCAATTAGAAAAAGGGCGAACTTATAAGAATAAGTACTACTTGTAGTACTTAGAAACGAAAAACCTTTTTGTCACAGGCCAATAAAGCAATCGAAATTTTAGTGTAATAATAAATATAAAAAATATATTTGAAGGAACCTATTAAGTTGGTAGCCCTGCCATTAACGGCCGTGGCGGCTTCTCATTCATAGTTGTATGAATGCGTTAAGTTAACCTTTGAATTCGCTTACACCTGTGTGCGTGCAACTCTTGGCGAATGAAATTTCATGCCACCTATACCGTACTATACGCACTTCGTAAGTAATATACAAAATCATCCGAATTTACGATCCAACGACGGTCACATTCTGGGAGTGTGTATTATCTCAAAACTCTTATGTAGACTATAATAGTGACCCGTGGCTTTACCTGATACCTATTTTCAAAATAAATTTTTTAAGGACATTTAAAATCGTGACGTCCTGAAAGGTTATTGTGAATGCTATGTAAAGTAAAGTTGTTACTTTACGTTACACAGGCTGTTGCCTGTACTTATACCACTGCTGTGCAAAGTTCTCCTCTGTACAGGGGGTATTAGGGCATAGTCCACCACGGGGCCCCACTGCAGTTTGGCGGACTTCACATGTCTTCGAAATATTTTTTTTATTATTAAATACCGCTTTATTTATATCTTAATTTTCCTTCACCGCTGAGCACGTGATAAGGCAGCACTTAAAATTAAAAATTCCATTGGTGCCGGGGATAGGGGATTTGATAAAGAGCTCCAACATTTCCGTGTTGCCTTATATGCCGACGAAAAATCTGTACGAGTATGTAAAGATATATACATATTTAGACATTTCATACGTACAATTAACGAATTAACTTGTTTAATAAGTAGTTTTGCGAAATATCAAAACTTTAGAACGTACCACACAGTACGCAATTAGTACACACTAATTGTGAATTAGAAGTGTAAGAGTTTCATTGCCTCGCTTCCGTCCACAACGAGAGATCCTATTTGGTAGTTAGTAAAAATGAACTTGTAATAAGTGGAGGAACCTAATTTATTCGAAATGTACCTACATAAATGAAGAGTTTTGGCAAATGAACATATTTGCGACTCAACTAAGGAAACCTTAATCTGTCTTTTTTTTAAGGGAGAAGGTGGCAAGCGAGCTGGCGCTCCACCTGATGTTCAGTTTTTTATGTGAATAAGTGGGAGACGATTTAGCGGACCATCTGATGTTAAGTAATAACCAAAGCCCATGGACATTTGCAACAACCCTATGGCTGCACATGCGTTGCCACCTTTAAATAACCTCCCTGGCTACCTCACTCACCAGAAGAAACGCTTCCACTTCACGTCGGTCTTCTTCGAGGTCGTAGTACTTACCCGGACGGAACTGCATATTCGTGCAACAGCAAAAACTGTTGCGTGGCCCTACCACAGTCTAATCTATAACAAGAATCTAAATAACATATTCGTGTTATACCCATTTATGGGAAGCGTTGCAATGCGATAGAAGCTACGTACCAATTCACATAAGTTGTTGAATGTAATCATTCTATTTTAAAAACCAACCCGCAAGCGACGCGTCGTAAAATTAATAAAAAATAAAGATAGGCGAACGCTAAGAGGCGTTTCGAAGTTGATATTCATTTAGAACCGACGGGCGTCGTGTGTTAGAGTAAAACGCAAATAAATTTCGGGTGCATTACGCCGGCGGGGTGATGAATTACGTCCTCCCATTGGCAACCCTTTCGGTGGACGATGCTATATTAGAATGGAGCGGTATGCCAGTTATGTAGCCACCTGATCCAGGGTTGTTGGTTTGAACTCGGTTCAGAAATAATAACGGGGTTAGATCCAAATTAAACTCTCGATTTATCGATGAAATACAGCTTTTTCTGGAGTAAAATATGGTGAATGTGTTGAACTCACTGGCTTGGATTTGTAATACTGTTGTTATTGACTGACGTAAGAAAAAAATCAGACTACATTTAGTTATCACAATATATTGTATATTCAAAATATAGTGAATTTTTATTAGTTAAATGTTTACTTCGATTTGTTTACATCATTGAAAAAATTAAACAGTTTCTAGCTTATCTACTGTATAGTATCTTTAGTTATATGATTAGAAATACGAATATTCATATTTTAACTACGATCTGATAGGTACTATATACCATTAGTAAATGATGTTTTTGGATGCTGTATTATACCAAAACTTTTATTATTATTGTCCAACTAAAAATAGAATACTACTAAGGTAATAACTCATTATGAAGCTACATTCTTACTAGTTCTTATTTACTTTCTTAGCTGGCACTGTTTTCTGTTTAGTTCGTTCACAACAAATGGAGTAGCTGGCGATTTAATGACCAACCCTACTTAAAATTCTTGTAGATATTAATGTCCTACACACTAATCAATATTCAGTTTTTATAGTTAAAAATATATCCTTCTATTAAAGCTGCCAATAAACTGTTTTAAATGATTAAGTTCAAGTAGTATCTCTCTAATCGTAAAAATAAATTAATATTGCATGCAATAATTCATTATACGATGTGGTATTTAACGGAATATGAAAGGATCATTTAAATATAGGTATGGTAACAGATTCAAAGTGCAGTATTAAATGAGTTTTTCTTAACCTGGGTTTGAAAACACGTAGAATCTTTATCAGACCATAGGTCATAGCTATGTTTACTATTACCAAATATGTAATTACTTACTCAACTGATTAAGACAAATTCAGTCAGATTTTAGTCAGATTTTTTTGTAATATTCGTATACGTGATGCAGCCAGAAATGAGATCCAAAATACTGGGATCAGTTATTTTAATCGAAAGCATTAGGTATCATCCAGCGGGTAAATTATTATATGTATGCATATTTTACGTTTAAGTTTTTTTTGGAATTTTTACTTTATAAATAAAAGAATAATCTTTTTGAAAATTATCTGCGCCTCACATAAATACTTTTGCCGTTATGGAATCGAACCCAAGCCATTAGCTTAGCAACTGCACCAATGATTCATCTTGCTCTATAGATTTATAGATAAGAAATATAACTGAAAAGTACGATAGATATAAGATATATGTAACAAGGTTATGCCATAAACATTGATTTGAGCTTTGTAATAGTATGACCATTCTGAACTTTTAAAAACGAGTACGTAGTTCTAGCAGAAGTCACGTAAATCATACAGTCTTATTGCAGAGAGGGTATCAATTTGTTTGTTCACAATTGGATGTGGTCCGGGTCTATTATAAATTTATATTGTCAGAGCGTTCAATGACTCCAGTAATAACACGTCTTCATGTTCGTTAGATCGAGACCTCGGAATGTTCTATTATAATGTTACACATATCTGTAGGTATATATAATAGAATCTGTTCATTAAAATATATTCGAAGAAAGTGGAACTATGAATCTAAATTTTATCTATATTTAATCTTTACAGTTGCACTATTATAAAGTTAAGCACTAACAAAAAAAATTCAAACTTGATAACTTGTAATCAAAATTGCACGGTTACGTGGACTGGATATTAAATATCATACGATCATAAAATACATCTAAATTGGGTGTATAAAACACGTAATTTGAATTCTTAGATATTAGTTATGAAAGTTAGACAAGTGCAGAGAGTGCTTCTGACTGTACTGATAATTAGATTTTTAACGTGGTCATGTTATATCGATTAGATATAAATCCACGAATTAAATAATACAAAAGTGTAATTAGTGAATTGTTCAGACTTTTTTTAATTGTTTTGACTGTTTTGAACTATTCAGCTAATAATCGTGCTTCATGGCGCTCTGTGGGAGGCCTATGTTCAGCAATGAACCCAAACAGGCTGTAATCATTATGATGAATCCGATGTTTTTAATATATAATTTTACGCAAGTCGTTATGGCGTTTACTAAATGTTTATGTAATATACGGTTCGCTGGTTAGCAAATGGCGTCTACTCAACCTCCGTGGCCTTTAGTAATGGCCATTAACTATTTGTTCACGATTTAATTAACGGCGCTCAATGGTGAGGCATAACAAAGACGGTAGCCGATATTTGATACAATAAAACGATATGTGAAACTCTCTAATGATCTGGCCGAGGTCGAAAGGCGTCCGCTGCTTTTTTGTTTCATGTGCGCACTAACGGTTTAATCCAGTCTTAGTTTCGGTTTGGCTCGTAGCCTCGATGTTGATCGATTGAGGTTTTTTTAATTGTCTCAGTTAATAGTTAAGATTATTTCTCATGTTTTATTATATGACCAGTTTTTAGATTTCCTTTTTAATTACGAACTTAACTTGTGCTTGACTACTCTAGTCGTCTAGCGTTACAATGCTGTAAGGGGAGGAAAGGATTTAGTTGTGCGTTTCCTGCGTACTCTCCGTATCCCCGTAACCCCCTGCTTTAGACGGGACATCGTTCTAATCACGTCAGGTTCATCAATCTTGTCATATGCTTCTCCGTTATTTAAATTTGGAGCTATAGCAGACCTTTTAAAAAAAATTAGAAATATACTTAAAACACAACACGCACTTACACACCCCACGGTAATGTTATCAAACGAAAGCATGATTGTAAGAACTCACAACAGAGCAGAAGCTAGTTTCAGGGTATCGACAAAATAAGTTTAATCTGGAATAATGCGTGTGTATTGTCATATTCGGGTTTAATTCACCGGAGTCTTACAGATAAAACCTTGAAGTGTATTTCGAAAAACGTGGCCTACGTCCTATTTATAACCATACTTAAACATACCTTAAAAGAGTATTTATCTACGTGTTAAATCCTGCTTTACCCGGAAGATTACAAACGTTATACAGTTAATCAATTCAAAGTAGCAGCGGCAAGTCCGGCTTAAATACAGCC